CCTGCACTTCATTTACTGTCTGTCTGTATGGGAGGTACTGGCATACAGCTGACTGAGAGCCATCTTCAGGAGCCTGCTGATTGCGGGTGGAATGCTTTAAAGGTTGCAGAGTAAAAAATAATAAATGCACATTTTTTACTTGCAAATAAATGTGCATTCATTTATTTATTTACTTGCATTTTTATTTAGTGGTATGCGACAGTAACAATGAAATGACATGAAAAGGAGACTTCACCAACCAGATAAGATAAGCAAAATAACTGGTACAATCAAAAAGAAAATACTTATATACTGTATATCTATACACAGAACACTACGTTAACTCAGGGCAATCAATGGTCTACATAGAACTGAAGCCCAGCTACAGCTTGGCCTGAGCACAATAGTTGGGAAGATCCTACTGGGCAATAAAAATATACGTGCCCCCCCCCACACAGTGCCTGCAGAGTCAGAACGAGATGGTCGATAAAGGGGGAAGTCAGCTGCGAAACTAACTCTTAGGTTCAGGGCATACCAGATTTTTTCATTATGCATTATAGTGAAGAAAATAGACGGAAAGGAAAGAGAGAGAGAGAGAAAAAAAGGGGGGGGGGGAGTAATACGAGGTCCAAGGGGAGGCTTGACCATCAGGGAACCACGCTACCTATCAACTCGAAATGACCCTTAGTTCATACGTGCAAAGCAAGTATTAGGTATATTGAAGGTATTCATCTGAAAAGCATAAGAAGTCCCAATAAAGCCACCTGGTCTTGTGTTCCTCTGATTTGTCTTGGATAGCAGAAGTCAGGTCCTCCATCTGTTCAATGTCATTCACCCTGGCGAACCATTGAGCCACAGTAGGGGCTGTCTGTTGTTTCCATTGGCTCAGGATGCATGCATGTGCCACATTTAGGAGGTGCTTGAGAAGATATTTATGATAACTTTTCTTAGACATGGGAGTGAGGTTAAGAAGGACTGCCGATGGGTCATTATACAGAGATACGGTATGTCTGTAAAATTTGTGTATGAGTTGGAGCACTAGCTGCCAGAAAGTCTGGAGTCTAGGGCATTCCCAGAAGATATTGAGGATAGTGCCAGGATGTTGTTCGCATCTCCAGCATCTGTCAGGTTAATTGGGGAATAGTTTTGCCAAGACTGAAGGAGTCCTGTACCAGCGGGCAATAATTTTATAAGAGGATTCTTTGTATTTGCTGCAGAGGGAAGATTTCTGCACAAAGAAGAGGACATGTTCTTTCTGGGGTTCGGTAAAATTAGTCTGCAGATCCCTCTCCCATTTTGCTAAGAAGGGGGGATTGACATTTGCATGGAGGTCCAACAGAGTTTTGTAGCAAGATGAAAGGGTACCACGGGTATTGTTTTTAAATGCTTGTGTTTACTTTGAATGCTATGTAGTTCCACGAGTACATAGCTCATTAAAGAGGAACTCCAAACACAACCAAAAGTGTAATTTGCATAACCAGGCTCCAAACTACTAAGTGAACATATATTAGCATCAATTTATAAATAATAAAGATACGCTAGTTGTTTTATAAGCATACGAAGCACAGACCCCAGGCCAGGATGGCTGTTTGATTACAGTTTCCATTCACTGAAGGCATATGGCAGCCAGGCACACAGCAGTTCACAGTTACTCAAGTCAAAAAACAGGCCTTGTATGTCTTTTTGAAGTTCATTTGCTTGTTTAAATTGGTTGGGGTGTGGGTGAGCTTCGGGATACTCCAAAACTACCAGAATGCAATAAAGGACACTTGTAGCTAATCTACTTCTTCAGGGTGCAACCACCCTCTTGAATTCAGAATTTAAGAGAACTACAACGCAGTGGACCCCTTGGCAGAATTATAACCTGAGTCAAGAAAACTGAAGTGAGTTCTCCCAAAAGTGGCAAGGACAGTCTATAGGACCCTTGAGGTTAATACTGTGCCCTGGGTACTGTATTGCTTCCTTTAGAACCAGCCAGCCTCTGTACAGGATGCCTCTGGCCTGCATCCTCTGCAAAACTTCCAGCACTTATTCAGGGGCTCTGGAAGAAGGTCCTTGAGCTCTAGCTGGAGCTATAACCCCAAAAATAATTTCTTCTGCAGTCAGGTTGAATCTTCTTCCCCTAGGAACAAGAAAGCACTGTTCTAGGCCCCAGACCATTCATACACCTCTTAGCCCCTTGATGGTCACACCTTCTGACCAGGGATTGGCTGAGGTTGTATGAATATTCAGGCCAGGGTCTTCCTCTCCCACTCACTATATTACTGAACTCATTGGAATGTAGGAGGAAGTAGTTGAACCTGCACCAGCAGCACCCAGAACAGCCACAAGTAATTGAGTACTGCTACCCTGCTATAGGGAAGCCAAAAAACTAAAATTTACCTCAACTACAGGAACCTAAGTAGGAGGGTGATACAGATGCATTATGTTATATGATGATAATTGTCTATAAAAATGTACAATTCACATAATTATCATATTCGTGTGGAATCATTTTTCCACATGAAAGGAACAGGTAACTATTAAAAGGTTCTATTTTTAACAGATAAGTGTTTTATCACATAAGCCATTATTTTGTCTACAATTACTTTTTCTGCTTCCCACAGTAGACACCTCTTAGAATCTCAGTGATAGCACCAGCCATGAGCTGGTGGTATTTATTTATGTCTTGAATTGAAAGAAAAAGTTTTCTGTTGAAATGAGCAAATAACACATAGTAATAAAAATGTCACGTTTTTTTGTTTTTTACTTTATTGTACTAAAATTGTTTTGTGCCTTCAGAGATGTACCCAAGGCATAAAAAAATTCTGTAACTTCTCCATCCCCAGCATCTCTGTCTCAAAGTATTCTCCTATTAGTGCTGCAGATCACGTGTTTGCTATATTTTTTTTTTTTTGTTTATGACAGGTACTAATATAGGACAGTCAATTTACACAGGGCTTTACATATATATTGTAAATCTACATCAGTCCCTAACCCTCAAGGAGCTTACAATCTCTGAGGTCCCTAACTTACATTCATACATGCACTATATTGCCAAAAGTATTGGAAGGCCTGCCTTTACATGTACATGAACTTTAATTGCATCCCAGTCTTAGTCCGTAGAGTTCAATATTGAGTTGGCCCACCCTTTGCAGCTATAACAGCTTCAACTCTTCTGGGAAGGCTGTCCTCAAGGTTTAGGAGTGTGTCTATGGGAATGTTTGACCACTCTTCCAGAAGTGCATTTGTGAGGTCAGGCACAGATGTCAGACAAGAAGGCCTGGCTCACAGTCTCCTCTCTAATTCATCCAAAGATGTTCTATTAGGTTGAGGTCAGGACTCTGTGCAGGCGAGTCAAGTTCCTCCACCCCAAACTCACTCATGTATGTCTTTATGGACCATGCTTTGTGCACTGGGGCCAACCCCAAACTGTCCCCACAAAGTTGGGAGCATGAAATTGTCCAAAATGTCTTGATATGTTGACACCTTAAGAGTTTCCTTCACTGGAACTAAGGGGCCAAGCCCAACCCCTGAAAAACAACCCCACGCCATAATTCCCCCTCCACCAAACTTTACACTTGGCACAATGCAGTCAGGCAAGTACCGTTCTTCTGGCAACCACCAAACCCAGACATGTCCATCAGATTGCCAGACACAGAAGTGTGATTGGTCACTCCAGAGAACACGTATCCACTGCTCTAGAGTCTAGTGCCGGCGTGCTTTACACCACTGCATCTCACGCTTTGTATTGCACTTGGTGATGTAAGGCTTGGATGCAGCTGTTCGACCATGGAAACCCATTCCATGAAGCTCTCTACGCACTGTCGTTGTACTAATCTAAAGGCCACACATTGTTTGTAGGTCTTTATCTTTTGATTCTGCAGACACTTGGCGACTGCTGTGCTCTGTGCGCTTCAGCATGCCCTGACCCCGCTCTGTCATTTTACGTGGCCTACCACTTTGTGGCTGAGTTGCTGTTGTTGCCAGTTGCTTCCACTTTGTTATAATACCACTAACAGTTGACCGTGGAATATTTAGTAGCAAGGCAATTTCATGGTTAGACTTATTGCACAGATGGCAACCTATCAAGGTACTACTCTTGAATTCACTGAGCTCCTGAGAGCGACCCATTCTTTCACAAATGTTTGTAGAAGCAGTCTGCATGCCTAGGTGCTTGATTTTATACTCCTGCGTCCATGGAGATGATTGGAACACCTGAATCCAATGATTTGGAGGGGTGTCCCAATACTTTTTGCATTATAGTGTATGCACACTAGGACCAGTTTAGATAGGAGCCAATTAACTTACCAACATGTTTGTTGATTGTGGGAGAAAACCCACGCAGGCACATAGAGAACATGCAAACTCCTAGCAGGAGTTTGGCAGGGATTTGAATTGACATGTCATGGCTGGGATTTGAACCGACACTAGTGCTGCTAGGCAGAAGTGCTAACCACTTAGCCACAGTGCTGCACTTTTCTAGCAGCTGAAGGGAAAAAGCAACTCCAATTCACTTTAGAACAGTAGCGAGGGTTGTAAGATTTTATAAATTGTTGTGTGACTCCCAGCTTGCCGACAATGTAGAGGATGAGTCTATAAAGTTAGCTTTGGAGATGAATAATGTTGTGCCTCATATAAATATTTGCATCACTCCTACCTGCCAGCAATGGCATGTACAGGAGGGAAGTTAGCCTGTAGCATTAGCTGTTGAATTATCCTGTATTGTTCTCTGTGTTTGAGTCCATGTGGGTTTTAATAAGGGGATAGTTAGATGTAGTGCTCTCTGGAGTTCTTTAAATTCTGATAAAGCAATGCTTCTATTATTTTCTTAGAATAAACATGACTTCCTGAGTACATATGTATGTTTATGGTTATAAATTTAATATGGAACAGGAGAAAACTGGAGAGGTTATCTAACAAAAAAGTGATTTATTAGGGCTCATGTACACTGCAGCTGATAAACTCACGTTTAGGAGCTGTTCAGTGTTTTTTTTTTCAGCAGCCCCTGAACTCACCCTAATGTTTTCCTATGTGTCCATATGCACAACTTCCTTCACAGGCATTTGAGTTTACAGTCGTTTTTTTTAACGCAGAAAACATACGTTCAGCAGTCGATTTTATCAGCTTTTCAAGCGCAAAATGCTTGTAAACGCAGCAAATCGTGTTTATAAGCGTTTGCGTTTTTCATCATGAAAAATGCATGCAAAGCGTTTTCAGGGTACTCAGATGGACAAAACACTTAACACAGGATGTTCCAACCAAGCTTGTCACACCTTGTAATGACCAATTCACACCTCAGACCTCTCCCACCCTTGGAAACAAAAGATATGTTAATGACCGTTCACACCTCAAATTACTCTTGAAGACCCCCTGCCAGGTGACCTTAATGACTCACTCTACCAGACACCTTTCCCACCCTTGGAAACAAAAGAAATGTTAATGAGCAACTCACACCTAAGCTAATCTCAACATCTACTGCTCTCTCTGCTTCTGCTCTCTGTATTTCTCTGAAACAGTCTAATAAAATAGTTAATAATTTACTATTTTTCAGTGCATTCTGGGCATTTGGGAGGTTCTCCTGTGCTTATCTTTAAAAAACGCTTCTAAAAGCAAACGCGCATAAACGTGTTATGTAAACGCAGCTAAACAGATGATTTTTTAAGCTACGTTTTCCAGCAGTCAGTTTCCATCGTTCAGAAGTGTCCCTTGTACATTGGGCCTTAAAGGGTAAAAATCAGGCCAGAGAGAAGTTGTTGGAATTGACCTCGAGATTGGCCGTGGTGGACGCTACTTGGAAAGCCTGCCCGACTACGGCCAGTAGGAAGGCTCAAGATGTGGTGGCTGCTGAACTTGATCTTCTCTCCACTACACAAGCTGAGAATGCCTTACAATGGGCCGGACATTTTATACATGCTTCAATAAACCGGGGCCAATGTTGGCCAAGAAACTTAATTCGCTTGGTCGCACGCATAAACCTGTTCAATTCCACATGAGGGGCGGGGGCCTTACCTTGGACCCTGTGAATTACTCATAGATTTGCAGATTTTTTGTCCTCTCTTTACCAAAAACTGAAAACCTTTGTCGTTGAACATGCTGATAGCTTTTTTGCTGAGCTACGACTACCCTCTTTATCCAATGCAGCCCGAGATGCCCTGAATACAGATATCTCTGAATCTGAACTCTACCAAGCTATCAAATCTTTGAAGGCCTCCAAGGCTTCAGGCCCAGATGGTTTTTCTGGACTCTATTATAAAAAATTTGCCACTGTTCTGGTTCCTCATTTGATGGCCTTTTTCAATTCTTTGAAGCAGGGTTCCCGGCTTTCTTTGGAGTCTCTTCAGCCGCATATTACTATGATCCCTAAGAAAGCTGAAGATGCCTTTGAACTGCAAGCTTTCAGACCGATCTCGCTGCTAAACATGGACTTGAAGATTCTGGGAAAGATTCTGAGCACCCGAATTAATAAGTATCTACTCTCACTTATTCATCAAGATCAGGTTGGCTTCGTTCCGGGGCGACAAGCTGCTGATAACATCCATAAAGTCATCCATCTCATTCATATTTTACATTGCCACAAGATACAAGGGTTTCTTTTATCCCGAGACATTTATAAAGCATTTGATTCACTTTCTTGGCAATATTTGACATATACGCTGTCTAGATGGGGGTTTGGTGACGCATTTCTGGCTTGGATCTCGGCTTTATATTCGTCTCCCTCGGCCTCTGTTAAGTATGCAGGTTTTTTTTCCTCATCCTTCCCTATTTTCAGGGGCACGAGACAGGGATGCCCATTCTCACCTGCTCTTTTTGTTCTCTCTCTTGAACCTTTAGCTGCAGCCATTCGAAATCACCCGGATATTTCTGGTGTCCCCTATGTCGGCACTCAATACAAGGCCAACTTTTATGCGGATGATGCCCTTTTGGTTTTAACCAATCCTCTCATCACTCTCTCCAATCTCCAGGTCATATTGGACCGTTTTTCGACTATATATGGCCTTCGCATCAATTTGCCTAAAACCAGGCAGTAAATATTACGCACCCTGCTGACCTGGTTGAACGGTTGCAGACATAATTTCCCTACCGTTGGGCATCCCATTCTCTGGCTTATCTTGGCATTACACTTACTTCCTCCTACTCTGCCTTATTTTCGGCTAATTATTACCCCTTACTGCGCTCCGTTACTTCCCTGCTTCATTCTTGGCAGTTTCCTTCTTTATCATGGATTGGCCGGATACATGCTGTTAAGATGACTATCCTGCCGAAGATCCTGTACTTTTTCTGTACTTTCCCTATTCAGGTCCCTGCGTCTTTTCTTCGTGTACTACAGAGCCAGATTCTCAGTTTTATTTGGGCTCATAAACATCCCAGAGTGAATAGAAGCACTTTGTATACTCATAGACTACAGGGAGGTTTGGGAGTTCCACACGTTTCTAGATACTATTTGACGGCTCAGATTTCCCAGTTGTCTATGCTTCATGCCACGACAGATATCCCGTTATGGGTACTCTTGGAATTACCCAACTGTGCTTGTCATTGGACATTTCGTTATTTGACTAATACTAAGTCAGCAGGATGTTTATATGTTAATGTTGTGCTCAGCCCCTGCGAGGGCATATTTTGAGCTTGTTATATTCTTAAAAACAAAGCTTTCCTAATAAAAATATTGAAACAGAAAGGGTAAAAATCAGTTTTGGGTGGATTTTGGCTCCACTTTAAGCAGTAGTTTAGTGTTGCCTGCAGAATTCCCATAGGTATATATCCTTATTTTGGAGCCAGCAGAGACTAGGACAGACTAAAGACATAGTGAAAAGATTCCCCTGGCAGAGACCATAGGGTTAAATCAGTAAAAAGCATGACATTTAAACTCATCAGATTTATATGCGTGGAGTCATTCTTTTTACAGTGAAATAATTATGTAATGAGAAAACTCTTTAGACTGCCATTGTTGATGATTTCCTTTTGACAATGGTATCATAATGATGCCAATGGTTCAGTGTTTTCTGAGTCTCTACAGAGATAAGGAAATTCTATAGATTTCTACAATGCTTTTCTATGTAGTTTCATACTGTTGATGTGCCCTGGTTTCCCCTGAGATAATGATTCAGTAGTAAGCTTCAAATGCTTCAAAAAGTCACTGGGGGAGATTTACTAAAACTGGAGCATTCAGAATCTGGAGCAGCTGTGCATGGTAGCCAATCTGCTTCTTAAGCAGGCCATACACGTGTAGATTTTTGGACAAGGATATTCGTAAGAAAAATTCTTAGAACATTTGAACATGTCGTTTGAAGATTGTCTTTTGCTTTTAACATTCGATGTTAAAATTAATGTAATTTCTGAATGATAACCACATACACTGGCCAAAAATTTGTTTTATCGAGAAAAGTTTTTGTTCCTGCTTCCAATTTTCCCGTCTCTGCTGTCAGAAACAAACATTGATTTGACCCCACTAACGATTAGAAAATCAAACGAATATTCTTGAAACAAAAATTCTCGAACGAAAATCTATACTTGTATGACCAGCTTAACTTTAGCTTGTTGTTAAACTTTGACAAAAAAACCTGGAAGCTGACTGCTTTCTGTGCAGAGCTGCGCCGTATTTGCATGCTCCAGTTTTAGTAAATCCCCCCAGTCTTTCAGCTGAGCTAAATAATTGCTGGGGTCACTGAAACATAGATCTTTTGTTGACTGTAGTTGTTTTTTTTTCTAGCAAATAGCTGCTACAAAAAATTTGCTCATGTGACATGGCCCTCATTGTTAGGAAAGCTGCAGTAGGGGGTATTAAAAACAAAGCAGACTTTAGGCCCCATTGAATAATGTTTGTGGAAGTGTTTACGGTTTATTACAAAAAAAAAAAGGGTGTAAAACGTGATCAGAAAGATAGGTAAGAAAGTGGCAAGCTTAGCTGGTTTGATAGACTACGAGGAGAAAGAAAGTGCTGACAGGCATTCTAGAGAGAAAAAAAAAATCTTTTTTTGTTTTACTGTTTTCTAAGAAGTTTTACAATACATAATGCTTCTGGTTTAGGCTTTGTCTTACTAACAACAATTCAACAAGCTGTATAGAAATCTGAACCCACTTTACAAAGTGTATGTGTGTATTGAGCTGAGAAAAGAGGCATGAGTGTGTAGGCGAGGTTTTCACCGTATTTTCAGGCTCGATGAGACACGTCTTGCAGATGGTGTTTGTGCACAGTCTCGTCAGTAAGGCTCCAGCATGAAGAAATAGCTGCACTGGTTAATAAAAAACACATTTCCTTGTAAATGTATTGCTGAGGGCTGTCCAATTGATAAGCTTCAACAATCTAGCTTAATTTCTCCGCATCTCAAATCCAGGATGATTGCAAAGACCCGGTTGTCAAGCTGCTGAATGATTGTACACACAGATTTTAGATTTCGCTTCTCCCACGTACAAAGTCAAGTGCTCTGTTATACAATCATTTGGCAAATAATAAATGTATCAATAATGATACATAGTTGTAATCAAGACAAGTCATGTGATCAATCTTAAAGTGTACCTGTAATAGTATTAAGTTATTGAAAGGTTCTTCTAGCACACTTAGGAGTAAGGACCTGTGCAGCAGTAGCTCCATGTCCAATGCATAGTGTCAATCAAAGCAGAGGGTGAGAAAATTCTCTCCTACATGCAGTATTATTATTATACAAGATTTATATAGCGCCAACAGCTTGGTCAGCGCTTTACAATATAAAGGGAGACAATACAGCAACTATGCGGTTCAATACAAGAGGGTTAGAAGGGCCCTGCTCCTGGGACTTGCAATCTAATAGTAAAGGGCTGGTGGAACAAAAGGTAATAACTGTAGGGGATGAACTGATGGGAGAAATAGAAGATTCGGTTATTAGCTGAAGGTAAAAATGGACAGAGTAGGTGATAGTCAATCAAATTGGGGTAGAGAGTTCCAGAGGACGGGGAAGACTCTGGAGAAGTCCTGGAGATGAGCATGAGAGGAGGAGACAAGGGAACTAGAGACCAGGAGGTCTTGAGAGGAGTGGAGAGGATGGTTTGGGTGATATTTGGAGACAAGATCGGTGATGTAATTTGGGGCAGAACTGTAAATGGCTTTATATGTAATTGTTAATGTTTTGAATTTTATTCGTTGAGCAATGGGAAGCCAGTGGAGGGATTGGCAGAGAGGGATGGCAGACATGGAACATTTGGTAAGGTGGATGAGTTTGGCTGCAGTATACATGATAGGCTGAAGAGGGGATAACCTGTGATTTGGTAGGCCAATGAGGGGGGAGTTGCAATAGTCAAGGCGAGATATAACAAGGGAGTGAACAAGTTGCTTAGTAGTTTCCATTGTTAGGAACGGGCGTATCTTGGAGATGTTGCGGAGGTGAACTCT